GATAGCCATGTCGGCATCTGGGGGCAGCTTTGGCGCCTTTGTGGCCCTGCCGCTCACTGGCTACATCTGCCAGATGCTGGGCTGGCCCACTGTCTTCTACATCTGTGGTGAGGGGAACACACACTGGTGCCACCACAAGCCATTTTTTTTGCCTTGAAGACAACCACTGTTTAGCTCTTTGCTTTCACTGCCAAATCTGCTGATTCTTTTAATCATTCACCTCCTCTTCCAGGCAGTGCTGGTTGCCTCTGGGCAGTCTTTTGGTTTATCTTCGTGTCAGATGACCCTCGCACCCATCGCCGAATCAGCAAAGAGGAGCGAGATTACATCATTAAAACCGTCGGACCACAGGTACGAGTGAAACGTTAACAGATATTTATTTACATTGATCCTCGTGTGTGTCTCTGTCAGGGGACCCTGTTATAATCTGACCAAGCAAATCCTTCGTATCTTTTATACTCCTTATATTTATCTGGAGCTATTTGTGTAAATCTATTTTATACATAAAGCTTCAGACTCCATGTGACAGTTGTTTTTGTTTGTTTTGTTGGTCCTCGTCTGCTTTTTAATTATTTTGTGCTCTATATAGGGTCTTTGCTTTGAGAAGCACTGCTCTGTGACCCCGTATAAGGAAACTCCTGCAGATTCACAGGCAACACATGACCTCAGTCCTGCCTTTTAGTTGTTAGATTAACTGGGCATCTTTAGTAAATACCAACAACAGCTTTTTTTTAACCCCAAAACGAGATTTGCAAACATTTGCAAATGTTTTTTGTTTTTTTTTTAAGTGGAAAAAAGTGGTAGTGTTTATACAAATGACATTGTTTTCCATTGCTGTTCAAAATTGTCCCTCACCTGCTCCTATGTTGTGTATTCTTTTCTACTACCTGCAGTGAAGAGTGACTCATCACTTCCTTTATCTGACTTCCTGTTTCCATTTCTCTTACTGCTCTGCTTTTTCTTACTCCCTCTTCCCCGCAGCTGACCTTTTGTCTCAGTTGGTTTTATATCCAAATATATTTTCGATCCAAATATATTATAGTTTGATCTTCTTCAGTAGGTTTCGTTTCAGTTTAGATTTTATTGTTTGAAAAGGTTTCGGAGGAGGGGGAGGGGGAATCACACTGATGGACAAGTATTGTGGTGAACTTGGTTTTATGGGCTTAACAAGTTCAGATTTGGTTTTAAAGTACAAACAACTGCAGATAAACCGTCACATAGACATTCAGGTCTCAGCGAAAAATAATTCCCTCTCAGCTCTGTTTGACCAAACTAATAAATAAGGAGTAAAAAAGACATTTTCTGTATATTTTTATGCTGTTTTGTACAGTTTTTGGGCAGTGCAGAAGATCATTTTGTCTAGTTTTTGTTTTTAGTTTAGTTTTTTACCCTTCAGCCATAAAAGGCTCGTGGAGTATTGTCATCATTGTCCATGGGCAGGTGACATGGACACCCAAGTTTCCATGGGTGTATCTGCTAAGAATGTAGACCTCAAGGTTTGAGGTCAGAGGTCAGGTTTTCTGAAAATCGTCTGAGTGTGATTGTTATGTGATGGCTGCGTGCAGGCAGGAGAAGGACCCAAAGTGCAGACTCCGGAGACAAAACTTAAACT